ATGATCGCCCACGCCAGTTGGCAAGGCACATATATATACATTCTCTTTACACACACACACACACACACACGCAAAACCCAAACTGAAAGTAATCCTCTGAAATTTTCTTTGTCTTTAGTTTTTTTTTATATACATCTTTATATATATTTTTTTTTTAATAATTTTTTTTGAAGTCAAGGATAACTTTAATTGCAAAAATATATCCCCACAGGTGCTATAGGCTAATCACATCAGAAGAATCTCAGCACAGTACATACATTCTATAGCACCAGCAATGATCCAAATATGTGTATAACCAAATCGCACATCTTATAAACTTTCACTTGTATGAAGATATGTAACCTATGTATCAGTCCATGAACTACAAGTGTGAGTCATGGGCAATGACAAGAGTTCAGAGAAGCCAGCTACAGTTTTTAGAGATATCTGAGGAAGGTGGTCCAAGTGACAAGAAGGGACAAAGTTCACAATCAGACAATACGTCTGGATCACGTAACCCAGGCCTTACAAACTCAAGTGGATTGGTCACAGTTACGCTGGTCTTGACATGTATGCAGAATGGGAGAAAATTGGCCACCACTTCAGGCCAAGAACTTGGGAATCAGACCACAGGGGCGACCCAGGGTTCACTGGATAGACAACTTATGGGTGTCCCTAACTGACAAGAGGACTGAAATTGAGCAAAGCCGGAAAGAAAACAGGTGACAGAAGTCTGGCGATCGCTCAGGCAAACCTCTCCACCCCCTTGATGTTAATCAAACTAGGTCTGCATGAGTCCGAGGCTGCTCCATCGACAATCTAGCGATATATACTGTGCCCGGAACTCTGTATTCAGAAAGAGATGGTTCTGTCTTTACAGCTGCCCTGGTAAAAACAGGCAGTCATGTTTGATCGTTGTTGAAATTGTACTTCAGTTATAAAGAATTTACTTATTTGCTTCATTTATGTAATTGTTACTGTAGTTTGTACCTGACAAGATACAGGGAAATACCCCAGGCAATAAACTGTGCAATCTATTGTTTGTGTCTTCTTTGTATTATCTCAACTCATTTAGTATCAATCACCAAATTCCCATTCATTTATTGAACATTCCACATATCGTTCAAATGTCTTATTCGGTCTGTTAATTCAGGGAAACAAACATAATAAAATACAGAGGATCTGAGAGTTTAGGAATGAAAACAGATTTGCTGAAAGAAAGACAAAAGAAGACGAGTGAAATTTTACAGCCATAATTTTTAATGACTTAGAAAAACCATACTAGAGGGAAAAGATAAAGCAAGCGAGCAAGAAGCAGACAGCGATACAAGTGGGAGAATAACATCACGAGATGGACACCCAGCAGTGGGAAATAGTGTATATACAGGGAAAAAACACAGCGTGTTGGAGATCCCATACAGCCATCATTCATTGTGAAAATAGCACCTGACTGATTGATTGACTGAGCCAGTTAATACACTACCCAACTTTTTCAAAATTATATCTTTAGGCTCTGAATTCTTACATGTTAAAGAGTTAACTTATTCTGTATCACATTATATTACGTTTTCTCCTTATCTTATCAGTTATTAATTTAAAATAACTTCTTTTGGGGCCAAGATTGTTCAATGTTTATGTGAAGAAAACAAAAAAATCTGACAAGTAAACATTTACTTACTGCAATACTCTGTGCCAATCTGTGTGCCAAGTAAGATTTACCACTCCCAGTTGGACCATAGAATATCACACTTTTATACTGATCCAGCTAAAAGTAGATATCAACATTGTATAAACATGCAAACAATGACATCTGATTTTTTTTTTTTAAAGAAAACACATTAAAATAATTCCTCCTCCTTCTTTCTTCTTCGTGTTCACTGGCTGAAAACTCTGGTGAGAAGTCTTCCTTGTTTGTCCACTTCTGGACTTTGGTCTTTTTTTGACTTGAAGTCTGTGGGCACATTCATTTTACAGATCTGACTTATCTGTATGCAGAATGTTGGTTCCTTGCCTCTCAGGCAGATGCATTCCGACTTCACAGGAAATGTCGATTCTATCTTAGCTGGCCAGTTCCCCCAGAATAGGAACCTGTTTCTAGAACAAATGTGCAGAGATAGATCCTGACCAGTGCTTTGTGCTTTGCTGGAAAAAATCATTACAAAATTGTCCCGTTCAACTAGCATCCCCGAAGGGGGAGCTTTAGGTTATAATTGTGACGATATGTGCACTCTATAAAATGGCTTAGTACTGCACGCCATCAAGAGCCCTGAAAAGGACTCCTGGAGTGTTGATGTGATCAAAGGAGACAGACCCAAAACTTGACCAGCGATGAAGTTGTCTACCGGCGAACCAATAGATGACCCGATCACTAATTATCCTGATCAGTAAGAGTCCTTATCCTGGTACACCACCACATGTATTCCACAGTAATTCAATAGGTGAATATTATGATATGTATAATGATAATTATTGTTTCATTATTTATTTCTTCTCTGTTTGACAAAAAATCATTATTATCATGTACCATGCTTGTAAGCATATGTATCTTGGTTTGTAATCGCATATGGTCACCAGGGTCTCAGATGAGCCCTGTGTTCTTGCCCAACTCTGCAATATTGGTCAAGCCATCTAGAAAACCTCTTTGAGTACATCTTGTTGTTTCCCTATCTAGTGTATCAATTATCTCAAAGTTTTCAAGTTCACTGCCCCTCATATCATGCATAAAGACAAAGCCAAAAAGAGTTTTACAGTGCTCTAAAAAATTCACGTTGTTGTATGTATGTGAGTTATGACAATAAGCAGACTAGATTTTTAAAAAAAACCTTCTTGCAACGCAAATTTTTTTGTTTTTTTTTTGTTTGTTGAGAAACTGCAAAGAACATCATGGAATGACATAAACAAAAACAATGCTGTCCTCAAGACAGACAAAAACTATAAAATGATTGCATAAATAAGAAAAAGATCGCCAGTGTTTTCTGAACATCTTATGTAAAAGAACAGAATAAAAAACTTGGTTAAGACTGATAAGCTTGATGGAAATAATGCAAGGGCAAACAGTTAATGATCTCAATGGCTGGACGATAAAGTTTAGAGCAAGACAAGAGTACTAAGCTTATTCGTGATTCTGATGATCGTGGGAGATAGCAAAACATGACTGACCATGCTGATTGCTATGGTACATGATAATGATGATGATCTTCGCCATGCACACACAAAATCTCTCATCTCTCTACAGCATTTTTCCATACCACAACTGAAAACATTTTACTGGGGAGCTCCCAGTGTGGGTTCTGGACCCCATTGGGGGGAGGGGGGGCAGTGGGGTCTGTTATAATCCCCCCCACCCCAAAATGGGGTCCAGAACCCACACTGGGAGCTCCCCAGTAAAATGTTTTCAGTTGTGGTATGGAAAAATGCTGTAGAGAGATGAGAGATTTTGTGTGTGCATGTAAAAAAAAAAAAGGTGACTACGTGTGTTTCCGTCAAAGTTGGAGTGCATCTGCCTGAGAGGCAAGGAACCAAAAGTTGGCATATAAATGAGCCAGATCTGTAAAATGGATATGCATGCAAAATTCAAGTTCTAGAACAAGGCCAAAGTCCTGTAGTGGATGAACAACTAGAACTTTCTTCGGAGTTAATAGCCAGCGAATGATAAGAAGAAGATTGGTTAGTATGTTTTGCATGTTGCAAAAGGTTACACTCGCCACAGTGATACTTGTACTTTTATTACTTAAAAGCCTCCTCCATTGCATTTTATGTCATTCCATAGGTGGCTTCAATGATTCACTCAATAAAGAATGTTCCTTGTCATTTGAATATGATAACTTTTGGTTCAAATTATATTTTTTTGGATATGATAGTTTAACACGACTTTACTTCTGCTGATTATGCAAACTGTACAAGCATATTATGCTAATTCAGTCACACACACACACAAAACAATATTTTAGCTTTAAGTTACTGCGACTGAATATTCCAGAATTCGATAATATACAACTTTGAATCATTAATACAATTTGGCAGAAATTCACAAAAAACATTTACATAAGCAAATACAAAATTAAAAGTATTAAATAAACAACTTATTACCAGGCGTAAATAATTACTTATGGCTGACACAGGGTGGAGGACATCAAAAGCAATCAACTCACACATATTATCAGTATCTGCAATAGAGATTTGGGTTCAATTATAAAGAGATTATGTTTAAAAATGAGATAAAACATGTCTTAAAGTGGGTATAATTATAAGGTAATTCATTTGCAAAAAGTGTGCAGTTCACAAAACAGCTGAGTGGAAGATAACCATGAGGCAGGTGAAAAAAAAAACGGAGAGATAATTTTGTGTCTTACCTACAGTTTAAGTCACTAACTAGAAAGAATAGGCCAGTCACAGAGATTAATGGAGGTGATATTGGCAACAATAAAAAAAAGGAGGAGGAGAAGAAGGGAGGAGGGGCAAGATCGATCGAACGAACAAACAAACTTTATTTTCAAAGGGTTACAAATTAGGCACGCAGGCCCGTCTGACATTCGGCCCTTCTAAGCACTTGTTTTTCAGAGTACCAATGCCTGTTATATACAATCAGACTGTTACTGGTACCATCAGAATTTTAACTCCTCGCTTGCTGCTGAAGATGGGGAAGGAGCACTTATGGGAGTGTCCTGAGTGCTGTGATGTTGATTCCTAATTCAACATTCAACATTAATGTATCATACATGCACAGAATTTCATAGAAACTGTTCTCTTTGATGAGACTGAAATAAAACAGTCAAGCAAATTATGTACACTATGCTTGCCACATAAGCCCGTCAATCTAATTAAACTTGGTTGCATATCCTTTACAGAGGGTCACAAACCAATGCGAGAACTTGTTAGTTGTTTGTGGTTTTATTAGGCAATTTTTACATTCAGTTGTTGGCAACTGATTCCTAAATAGTCAATGCCCATACTGCTGTCAAAATCAACAGTGAGTGGCATGCTACCAAACTGCCTGCAGTTGAACACAGCCTGGTATGGCAGAATTATAAATTTGCATTGATAACCACTAAGCCACCGACACTGACAACCAGTTTAGAGCCAGGGCCTTTCAACTGGCAGCCTGTGGGGCTAAATCTGGCCCGTAGAGGCTTAGCAAGTAGCCCCCGGATCACTGCCAATTGTATTAATGATCTTTATATGCTGGGGCTCAAGACTCTGCCACTGACGATCACCATTTGCAACATCTTGGCCCCTGAGTAAATTGAGTTGAAAAGCCCTGATGTAGAAGAACTTCAGCTGTGTTATAGGACATTTATTCCAAGTGAAATGTCTCTTTTTTTTTTTTCACTAATGAGATGCATTATGAATGTAAAGTGAATTAGCAAAGGTGTATTCCGGTCTTTTCTGTTTGGTAGTTCAACAAACACATTTAAAGGGCCAAAGTTTTAATTTACAACAATAACAAAATCTCACCTTTAGAATGCAGACCTATTCATGATTCTAATATTTTTAAATTATAAGTTCTTTGTGTGACTTCTATGATGTATTGGGTTTCGGGGCAGAAATTAAAAAACAAGGAGTCCGCAGGTGCTAAATGGTAATCACTGATGCAATAATGAGACAAGCATAATAAGACAGTGTAATAATGAGACATGCATAATAAGACAACTTACCATCCACAGTGATAGTAACTTTTCTCTGCTCACTGTTAGAAAGCATCATATATGGAGACATGTCTGTCTGCATACCTGGCGTCCATTTGTAAAAACCTAGAAATATAAACAGAAAATATTAGTACTTGCTGGCAGACCTTCAAACTAGACTCAAAGCGAAATTAAACTTGTGGACACAGTTGGTAACCTTCAACAAAGAGTGAATGGATCAAGAATTGACATTACTTCCCTCAGAATATTCCCACAAGTGCTCCGTCTCCCTCCTCAGTAACCAACGAAGAGCCGACATGCTAACAGTACCAGTTGCATCCTGATTAAAAGTCTGCCTACGCTTCCCCCTTGGTGTTGAATATCTTCTAGAACCTCTACCCCCACCTCCCCTTTTCTGCAATTAGTCTTTAAATGTTTGGATTCCCTGTCGGTTCTGTGGCACTTTCCATCAGATCTCAGAGAGCCCTCCCCATGCCCTCCTTATCATAAAGCTGCTCTCCGCCCCAAGAAGCCAGCTGATTACCCCACAAACCAGAGTGTCCTAGACACAAAAAATCAATTACAGCTCCTGATCTGAGTCTTATCAAGTGATATCAGCCACTCTGAGCGCAGGACACAAGTTTGAATTTTGTAAAGCATGCTTTGTGAGTACGTTACAAACAACATGTCATGTCTGGCTGCTTTCAAGCCATTGGAAAGCTGCAGTTTACTAGCTCTGCCCCCATTCTCATACAGGATGTTGGGATGTTACACCCACTCTATAAAGCTATCAGTCATTTCTCTTAATGGATTCAAGAATTTAGCATTAAGGTATGGAGGAAATATTCTTTTTTTTTTCTTTCTTTTGTTTCTCCTTCTACATTTGGCACTGAAAAAGGTGGCTGGCATGTTGTTTTGCGTGTACATTTAGGTTGTGATTTTTCAGCCTAACTTATCTTATTTCAGCAAACTAATAATTAATCACCTTTTATGACATGGTTTAGCCAACCCCCCCCCCCCCCCCCCCCCCAACCCCCCCCCCCAATAACCCCCACCCAATAGAACCCAGGAACCCACATGAGAAGTATGGATTACATGACCGTATCTGAAATGACTGACTGCACACACAAAGAAAGACTGAACGAACAGTCAAGATAATCAGTCATGTGACATCTCATAAAACAAAATTTGCTAGCAAAAACATACTGATTGCTATAGCAGGCTTTAACTTAAATCTCCAGGGCTCTTTGATATCAGAATTTTCTTCTTTCTTCAGGCAAGAACTGTAAATTATGGTTATCAGAACTACTATGCTGTACAGAAATCTGGACAAAAAACAAGCAATTGAACAGCTGAATAGCAGTCCTGGAGATGTGAATATACAAAAGAATGTATCATAATATATGGAAATAAAACAATCAACTAAACAAGTTTGCTTGTAGGCTTTATTTTGAGTTTTTCGTCAAATGTCATGTTCATATATCTTTGTTATGAAAGCTTAGATAAAAGACAACATAGTTGGGCAGAGAACTGGAGTAAGACCATCAAGTACACTGAGAAGATAAATACATCCACTCATGTAGGCTCGTGAGTAAAGGTTTTTTTTTATTTATTTTTTTTTCAAATTTCAAGGCTTTTCAAGGTCTCTTTAGTTTTTTTCAAGGTCGTCACGGGGGTAATACTTAACATTCTTAGTGCACTCATGGTGTGCTATTTATACATGTACAAATGCATGCATGAACATAACAGGAATATATTTAACATAAACACAAAAATAACGTTGAAAACTCACCACAATAATGTACGCTTGCTAATATTTCATATGCATTCTTGCCTTCATAGACACATGAGAGAAATGAAAGTTGAACTACACAAATAAATATAACCTCACATTAAATCACGAGCTGACTCACTTGAAATAAAATATTTACACATAGTCCATAATATACTTAATCACTGAATATACAATATTTACACACACCATCCATTGCTTTTAACTACTCCTGTCTCTGGATCTCTAACTGTTTTTCGACAATCTGTTTGTCAACAATTTTAATTAAATCTTCCTTGTCTCTAACTGTCTTCCGTAAACTGTTTGAAACAGAAATAAGGGAGATGTTGCGCTGTTGTTCAGCCTGCAAAGCATTTTCATCAGCAGCATCAGTGATGGTTTTTAACATCCTTTTCTAAAGCAAGTTTCCTTCTTTTTAGGGTCTGCAGTTCACTTTCAAATAATTTTCGTTTACTGCTTTTTTTGTGTTGTTCAGTCTTCTCCTTCTGACTGTCTAAATACAACATATATCTACTGTGGGCACTGCTAGCACTGGTTAACATCTTTGGTGTTATCTCAATGTTGTCTACCCCACCCTGATTTCTTATATGATCAACTATTACTCTTCGTGATATTAGAGTTCTTTCAGCCATGTTATATTCTTCCATTTCTTTATTTACCGAAAAACCCCTTTCAACAGTTGCTTGTCCATGGGACAACATTAATAACATTTGAACAACACTCCAAACATTTTGAAACTCATTTCTGCCTGATAACAGGTCATGGTAAAATGAATCAAGTCTGTCTGTTTCCCTTGAAAAAGCAGACAGTGATCCATTGACTGCCGACTGCTCAATAAATGTAACAAATTCAGAAATAACAGCGTCACATTCAGTTGCATTAAATTTCCTTGATTTCACCAAGGTTTGTAAAATTCTTTTCAGCTTCTTTGCTGCATTGGCTTTGTCTTGAATAATTATGCTTGGATCAAGACAGGCCAAATCTTTCACTAATAAATACTGCAGTGGAGATTTGGCCAAAAATTTCTCCATAAATGCTACCATTATTAATTTACAATCATTCTTGAAATTCAGAATTTGAAGATCAGTTACTTTTCTCTCTCTCTCTTCAAATCCTTAATTACTGAATCTGCCACAAAACCAATATCTACTGCATGACCAGTGACATGATTCTGGGGGTCATTCACACTAAAATTCAAAATATCACTTGTACTGGAAAGATTAGCAATAATTTCCTTCTTTACAAATCGCCTTAAAACAGCAAAGGTAAGATTATGTAAATCTGTAAACAGGAAAGGAACCATTGGATTATCAGTCTGATACTTCCGAAGGAAAGGCTCAAGCTGCTTACTAAAAGAAACAAAAAATGCCAACTTAGAAAGATAAAAACATGTCGTTGTTGACTGCTGTTCTAACAGTTTCAAAAGATTCTGTTTGTGGCTGTGTTATTTCCTTTTTTGCTGCAGAGTCACAGAACTTCTTAAAATGCGGCAATATGTCAAAAGCTCCCTGTGCTACTTTAGAATTTTCAAGCCATCTATGGGCACAAAACTTCAAAGGTGCTTGTGTACACTGAGACGTTTTGAAATAATCCTCACGCCTGGCTGGAGTGTCTTCAAGTAATCTATACATGGATTTAAGCACTTTCTCCAATCCCCAGCCTGCTGCAACCATGGCTGTTTTACAAGCACCATGAACTTTGTGTAACCCACAGCTGCCAACATTCAGTAACTCTGTGCCATAGTTTTCACCAAGTAACATTCACTTTGTCATGAAATGACCAGTTTACATTCGGCCCATCCATCGAAAGCTGTATCAAATAGGCCAAATTCAATGTGGACGTTGCATCTTCAAACGCAGATTGCATATCAACAGCTGTGGCATGGCCAAGAAATTTTGATGTCAAATAATTTGTTTTGATGACATCAGCATCCCAAAATCTGACATGGAAATCCATCTTTAGGACATACATGGCTGGACCTTTAGGACATACATGGCTGGACCTTTAGGACATACATGGCTGGACCTTTAGGACATACATGGCTAGACCTTTAGGACATACATGGCTAGACCTTTAGGACATACATGGCTAGACCTTTAGGACATACATGGCTAGACCTTTAGGACATACATGGCTAGACCTATAGGACATACATGGCTAGACCTTTAGGACATACATGGCTAGACCTTTAGGACATACATGGCTAGACCTATAGGACATACATGGCTAGACCTATAGGACATACATGGCTAGACCTATAGGACATACATGGCTAGACCTATAGGACATACATGGCTAGACCTATAGGACATACATGGCTAGACCTATAGGACATACATGGCTAGACCTATAGGACATACATGGCTAGACCTATAGGACATACATGGCTAGACCTATAGGACATACATGGCTAGACCTATAGGACATACATGGCTAGACCTATAGGACATACATGGCTAGACCTATAGGACATACATGGCTAGACCTATAGGACATACATGGCTAGACCTATAGGACATACATGGCTAGACCTATAGGACATACATGGCTAGACCTATAGGACATACATGGCTAGACCTATAGGACATACATGGCTAGACCTATAGGACATACATGGCTAGACCTATAGGACATACATGGCTAGACCTATAGGACATACATGGCTAGACCTATAGGACATACATGGCTAGACCTATAGGACATACATGGCTAGACCTATAGGACATACATGGCTAGACCTATAGGACATACATGGCTAGACCTATAGGACATACATGGCTAGACCTATAGGACATACATGGCTAGACCTATAGGACATACATGGCTAGACCTATAGGACATACATGGCTAGACCTATAGGACATACATGGCTAGACCTATAGGACATACAGGGCTGGACCTATAGGACATACAGGGCTAGACCTATAGGACATACAGGGCTAGACCTATAGGACATACAGGGCTAGACCTATAGGACATACAGGGCTAGACCTATAGGACATACAGGGCTAGACCTATAGGACATACATGGCTAGACCTATAGGACATACATGGCTAGACCTATAGGACATACATGGCTAGACCTATAGGACATACATGGCTAGACCTATAGGACATACATGGCTAGACCTATAGGACATACATGGCTAGACCTATAGGACATACATGGCTAGACCTATAGGACATACATGGCTAGACCTATAGGACATACATGGCTAGACCTATAGGACATACATGGCTAGACCTATAGGACATACATGGCTAGACCTATAGGACATACATGGCTAGACCTATAGGACATACATGGCTAGACCTATAGGACATACATGGCTAGACCTATAGGACATACATGGCTAGACCTATAGGACATACATGGCTAGACCTATAGGACATACATGGCTAGACCTATAGGACATACATGGCTAGACCTATAGGACATACATGGCTAGACCTATAGGACATACATGGCTAGACCTATAGGACATACATGGCTAGACCTATAGGACATACATGGCTAGACCTTTAGGACATACATGGCTAGACCTATAGGACATACATGGCTAGACCTTTAGGACATACATGGCTAGACCTATAGGGACATACATGGCTAGACCTATAGGACATACATACATGCTAGACCTATAGGACATACATGGCCTATAGGACATACATGGCTAGACCTATAGGACATACATGGCTAGACCTTTAGGACATACATGGCTAGACCTTTAGGACATACATGGCTAGACCTTTAGGACATACATGGCTAGACCTTTAGGACATACATGGCTAGACCTTTAGGACATACATGGCTAGACCTATAGGACATACATGGCTAGACCTTTAGGACATACATGGCTAGACCTATAGGACATACATGGCTAGACCTTTAGGCAGGGTTCATAGCCAAATTTACCAACCAATTTCAAGGCTTTTCAAGGTCTCTTTAGTTTTTTTCAAGGTCGTCACGGGGGTAATACTTAACATTCTTAGTGCACTCATGGTGTGCTATTTATACATATACAAATGCATGCATGAACATAACAGGAATATATTTAACATAAACACAAAAATAGACACATGAGAGAAATGAAAGTTGAACTACACAAATAAATATAACCTCACATTAAATCACGAGCTGACTCACTTGAAATAAAATATTTACACATAGTCCATAATATACTTAATCACTGAATATACAATATTTACACACACCATCCATTGCTTTTAACTACTCCTGTCTCTGGATCTCTAACTGTTTTTCGACAATCTGTTTGTCAACAATTTTATTAAATCTCCTTGTCTCTAACTGTCTTCCGTAAACTGTTTGAAACAGAAATAAGGGAGATGTTGCGCGCTGTGTTGTTCAGCCTGCAAAGCATTTTCATCAGCAGCATCAGTGATGGTTTTAACATCCTTTTCTAAAGCAAGTTTCCTTCTTTTTAGGGTCTGCAGTTCACTTTCAAATAATTTTCGTTTACTGCTTTTTTTTTTGTGTTGTTCAGTCTCTCTCCTTCTGACTGTCTAAATACAACATATATCTACTGTGGGCACTGCTAGCACTGGTTAACATCTTTGGTGTGATCTCAATGTTGTCTACCCCACCCTGATTTCTTATATGATCAACTATTACTCTTCGTGATATTAGAGTTCTTTCAGCCATGTTATATTCTTCCATTTCTTTATTTACCGAAAAACCCCTTTCAACAGTTGCTTGTCCATGGGACAACATTAATAACATTTGAACAACACTCCAAACATTTTGAAACTCATTTCTGCCTGATAACAGGTCATGGTAAAATGAATCAAGTCTGTCTGTTTCCCTTGAAAAAGCAGACAGTGATCCCATTGACTGCCGACTGCTCAATAAATGTAACAAATTCAGAAATAACAGCGTCACATTCAGTTGCATTAAATTTCCTTGATTTCACCAAGGTTTGTAAAATTCTTTTCAGCTTCTTTGCTGCATTGGCTTTGTCTTGAATAATTATGCTTGGATCAAGACAGGCCAAATCTTTCACTAATAAATACTGCAGTGGAGATTTGGCCAAAAATTTCTCCATAAATGCTACCATTATTAATAATTTACAATCATTCTTGAAATTCAGAATTTGAAGATCAGTTACTTTTCTCTCTCTCTTCAAATCCTTAATTACTGAATCTGCCACAAAACCAATATCTACTGCATGACCAGTGACATGATTCTGGGGGTCATTCACACTAAAATTCAAAATATCACTTGTACTGGAAAGATTAGCAATAATTTCCTTCTTTACAAATCGCCTTAAAACAGCAAAGGTAAGATTATGTAAATCTGTAAACAGGAAAGGAACCATTGGATTACATCAGTCTGATACTTCCGAAGGAAAGGCTCAAGCTGCTTACTAAAAGAAAAAAAAAATGCCAACTTAGAAGATAAAAACATGTCGTTGTTGACTGCTGTTCTAACAGTTTCAAAAGATTCTGTTTGTGGCTGTGTTATTTCCTTTTTTGCTGCAGAGTCACAGAACTTCTTAAAATGCGGCAATATGTCAAAAGCTCCCTGTGCTACTTTAGAATTTTCAAGCCATCTATGGGCACAAAACTTCAAAGGTGCTTGTGTACACTGAGACGTTTTGAAATAATCCTCACGCCTGGCTGGAGTGTCTTCAAGTAATCTATACATGGATTTAAGCACTTTCTCCAATCCCCAGCCTGCTGCAACCATGGCTGTTTTACAAGCACCATGAACTTTGTGTAACCCACAGCTGCCAACATTCAGTAACTCTGTGCCATAGTTTTCACCAAGTAACATTCACTTTGTCATGAAATGACCAGTTTACATTCGGCCCATCCATCGAAAGCTGTATCAAATAGGCCAAATTCAATGTGGACGTTGCATCTTCAAACGCAGATTGCATATCAACAGCTGTGGCATGGCCAAGAAATTTTGATGTCAAATAATTTGTTTTGATGACATCAGCATCCCAAAATCTGACATGGAAATCCATCTTTAGGACATACATGGCTGGACCTTTAGGACATACATGGCTAGACCTTTAGGACATACATGGCTAGACCTTTAGGACATACATGGCTAGACCTTTAGGACATACATGGCTAGACCTTTAGGACATACATGGCTAGACCTTTAGGACATACATGGCTAGACCTATAGGACATACATGGCTAGACCTATAGGACATACATGGCTAGACCTATAGGACATACATGGCTAGACCTATAGGACATACATGGCTAGACCTATAGGACATACATGGCTAGACCTATAGGACATACATGGCTAGACCTATAGGACATACATGGCTAGACCTATAGGACATAGACCTACCTATAGACATACATGGCTAGACCTGGCTAGGACATACATGGCTAGACCTATAGGACATACATGGCTAGACCTATAGGACATACATGGCTAGACCTATAGGACATACATGGCTAGACCTATAGGACATACATGGCTAGACCTATAGGACATACATGGCTAGACCTATAGGACATACATGGCTAGACCTATAGGACATACATGGCTAGACCTATAGGACATACATGGCTAGACCTATAGGACATACATGGCTAGACCTATAGGACATACATGGCTAGACCTATAGGACATACATGGCTAGACCTATAGGACATACATGGCTAGACCTATAGGACATACATGGCTAGACCTATAGGACATACATGGCTAGACCTATAGGACATACATGGCTAGACCTATAGGACATACATGGCTAGACCTATAGGACATACATGGCTAGACCTATAGGACATACATGGCTAGACCTATAGGACATACATGGCTAGACCTATAGGACATACATGGCTAGACCTATAGGACATACATGGCTAGACCTATAGGACATACATGGCTAGACCTATAGGACATACATGGCTAGACCTATAGGACATACATGGCTAGACCTATAGGACATACATGGCTAGACCTATAGGACATACATGGCTAGACCTATAGGACATACATGGCTAGACCTATAGGACATACATGGCTAGACCTATAGGACATACAGGGCTAGACCTATAGGACATACATGGCTAGACCTATAGGACATACATGGCTAGACCTATAGGACATACATGGCTAGACCTATAGGACATACATGGCTAGACCTATAGGACATACATGGCTAGACCTATAGGACATACATGGCTAGACCTATAGGACATACATGGCTAGACCTATAGGACATACATGGCTAGACCTATAGGACATACATGGCTAGACCTATAGGACATACATGGCTAGACCTATAGGACATACATGGCTAGACCTATAGGACATACATGGCTAGACCTATAGGACATACATGGCTAGACCTATAGGACATACATGGCTAGACCTATAGGACATACATGGCTAGACCTATAGGACATACATGGCTAGACCTATAGGACATACATGGCTAGACCTATAGGACATACATGGCTAGACCTATAGGACATACATGGCTAGACCTATAGGACATACATGGCTAGACCTATAGGACATACATGGCTAGACCTTTAGGACATACATGGCTAGACCTATAGGACATACATGGCTAGACCTATAGGACATACATGGCTAGACCTATAGGACATACATGGCTAGACCTATAGGACATACATGGCTAGACCTTTAGGACATACATGGCTAGTCCTTTAGGACATACATGGCTAGACCTTTAGGACATACATGGCTAGACCTATAGGACATACATGGCTAGACCTATAGGACATACATGGCTAGACCTATAGGACATACATGGCTAGACCTTTAGGACATACATGGCTAGACCTATAGGACATACATGGCTAGACCTATAGGACATACATGGCTAGACCTATAGGACATACATGGCTAGACCTATAGGACATACATGGCTAGACCTATAGGACATACATGGCTAGACCTATAGGACATACATGGCTAGACCTTTAGGACATACATGGCTAGACCTATAGGATACATGGCTAGACCTTTAGGACATACATGGCTAGACCTATAGGACATACATGGCTAGACCTATAGGACATACATGGCTAGACCTTTAGGACATACATGGCTAGACCTATAGGACATACATGGCTAGACCTATAGGACATACATGGCTAGACCTTTAGGACATACATGGCTAGACCTTTAGGACATACATGGCTAGACCTTTAGGACATACATGGCTAGACCTTATAGGACATACATGGCTAGACCTTTAGGACATACATGGCTAGACCTTCAGGACATACATGGCTAGACCTATAGGACATACATGGCTAGACCTATAGGACATACATGGCTAGACCTATAGGACATACATGGCTAGACCTTTAGGACATACATGGCTAGACCTATAGGACATACATGGCTAGACCTATAGGACATACATGGCTAGACCTTTAGGACATACATGGCTAGACCTTTAGGACATACATGGCTAGACCTATAGGACATACATGGCTAGACCTTTAGGACATACATGGCTAGACCTATAGGACATACATGGCTAGACCTATAGGACATACATGGCTAGACCTTTAGGACATACATGGCTAGACCTATAGGACATACATGGCTAGACCTTTAGGACATACATGGCTAGACCTTTAGGACATACATGGCTAGACCTATAGGACATACATGGCTAGACCTATAGGACATACATGGCTAGACCTATAGGACATACATGGCTAGACCTATAGGACATACATGGCTAGACCTATAGGACATACATGGCTAGACCTATAGGACATACATGGCTAGACCTATAGGACATACATGGCTAGACCTATAGGACATACATGGCTAGACCTATAGGACATACATGGCTAGACCTATAGGACATACATGGCTAGACCTATAGGACATACATGGCTAGACCTATAGGACATACATGGCTAGACCTATAGGACATACATGGCTAGACCTATAGGACATACATGGCTAGACCTATAGGACATACATGGCTAGACCTATAGGACATACATGGCTAGACCTATAGGACATACATGGCTAGACCTATAGGACATACATGGCTAGACCTATAGGACATACATGGCTAGACCTATAGGACATACATGGCTAGACCTTTAGGACATACATGGCTAGACCTATAGGACATACATGGCTAGACCTATAGGACATACATGGCTAGACCTATAGGACATACATGGCTAGACCTATAGGACATACATGGCTAGACCTATAGGACATACATGGCTAGACCTATAGGACATACATGGCTAGACCTAGGACATACATGGCTAGACCTATAGGACATACATGGCTAGACCTATAGGACATACATGGCTAGACCTATAGGACATACATGGCTAGACCTATAGGACATACATGGCTAGACCTATAGGACATACATGGCTAGACCTACCTAGGACATACATGGCTAGACCTATAGGACATACATGGCTAGACCTATAGGACATACATGGCTAGACCTATAGGACATACATGGCTAGACCTATAGGACATACATGGCTAGACCTATAGGACATACATGGCTAGACCTATAGGACATACATGGCTAGACCTATAGGACATACATGGCTAGACCTATAGGACATACATGGCTAGACCTATAGGACATACATGGCTAGACCTATAGGACATACATGGCTAGACCTATAGGACATACATGGCTAGACCTATAGGACATACATGGCTAGACCTATAGGACATACATGGCTAGACCTATAGGACATACATGGCTAGACCTATAGGACATACATGGCTAGACCTATAGGACATACATGGCTAGACCTATAGGACATACATGGCTAGACCTTTAGGACATACATGGCTAGACCTATAGGACATACATGGCTAGACCTTTAGGACATACATGGCTAGACCTATAGGACATACATGGCTAGACCTATAGGACATACATGGCTAGACCTATAGGACATACATGGCTAGACCTATAGGACATACATGGCTAGACCTATAGGACATACATGGCTAGACCTATAGGACATACATGGCTAGACCTTTAGGATACATGGCTACATGACCTGCAGGGTTCAAGCCAAATTTACCAACCAATTTCAAGGCTTTTCAAGGTCTCATGGCATAGACACTCATGGTGTAGGACATACATGGCTAGACCTATAGGACATACATGGCTAAACCTTTAGGACATACATGGCTAGACCTATTTCATACATACATGCTATCATAGACACATAGGACATAAATTGAACTAGACCTTTAAATATAACATATTAAATCACGAGCTGACTCACTTGACCTAAATATTTACACATAGTCCATAATATACTTAATCACTGGACATACATCTTTTACACACACCATCCATTGCTTTTAACTACTCCTGTCTCTAGGATCTCTATGTTTTTCGACATATGTTTGTCAACAATTTAGACCTTTCTTCCTTGTCTCTAAACTGTCTTCCGTAAACTGTTTGAAACAGAAATAAGGGAGATGTTGCAACTGTTGTTCAGCCTGCAAAGCATTTTCATCAGCAGCATCAGTGATGGTTTTAACATCCTTTTCTAAAGCAAGTTTCCTTCTTTTTAGGGTCTGCAGTTCACTTTCAAATAATTTTCGTTTACTGCTTTTTTTGTGTTGTTCAGTCTTCAGTCTTCTCCTTCTGACTGTCTAAATACAACATATATCTACTGTGGGCACTGCTAGCACTGGTTAAATCTTTGGTGTGATCTCAAATGTTGTCTACCCCACCCTGATTTCTTATATGATCAACTATTACTCTTCGTGATATTAGAGTTCTTTCAGCCATGTTATATTCTTCCATTTCTTTATTTACCGAAAAACCCCTTTCAACAGTCTGCTTGTCCATGGGACAACATTAATAACATTTGAACAACACTCCAAACATTTTGAAACTCATTTCTGCCTGATAACAGGTCATGGTAAAATGAATCAAGTCTGTCTGTTTCCCTTGAAAAAGCAGACAGTGATCCATTGACTGCCGACTGCTCAATAAATGTAACAAATTCAGAAATAACAGCGTCACATTCAGTTGCATTAAATTTCCTTGATTTCACCAAGGTTTGTAAAATTCTTTTCAGCTTCTTTGCTGCATTGGCTTTGTCTTGAATAATTATGCTTGGATCAAGACAGGCCACTGCGCTTTGTTTAAAATTACCTAACACTACGTAATACAGCCCGCTGGTTCAGACTAGGGATGTGAGGTTGGATTCTCACGCCAGTGTCAGAATGTTATCTCCTGACCAGACTGTAGAGACTTAGGGGGGGGCCCTTTTGAACAGGTAAATTGAGTAGACGCTAGACATTGTGGAGCCGGGAGGTCGGAGTTTCACACGTCAGTGTAAGACTAGAGAGAACAGGTGTTTGGCAATTAGGGATGTGTTATCTTGATCTTGGTCACGTAGGAAACACAATGGCTTCACTGACCGTCTTTCACACCGGCCAGTTAGATTCGGTGTAAACTAGATTGGGGCACTTAAGAATGTTTGCTCTAGGGATGTCAGTCCTGAATTGACTGACAGGCCACTTGTTAGCTAATGTGATCTGTTGGGTACTCCGGAGGCGTGGCTTAAGTCATCGTCTTGAGGGTTGGGCAGAACCCAGTAAAGGGAGGAGATTAACTTGGACAATAGATTGATACTTATACTTCGAGCCTGTGGAATTTCCGTCATTAATCGCAGCCTGCCGGCAAACAAACAGGTCGACGTAAAGGTATATTTTACTGTCGTACTCTGGTTTGGCGATAGATGGAAAAGTTCCCAGCGCCCATGTGACGATCAGTCCATGAAGTAGCCTACATTGTGTTAGACTCGGCCAGCTGGGAACGAGGTGGAGAACGAGGTGGAGAACAAGGTGGAGAACGAGGTGGAGAACGAGGTGGGGATGAAGTGGAGAATAAGCTGAAACAGGCAGACAACAGGCAAGGAAGAGTTGGACAAGCTTGACAGTTCCTCACGGCTGTCAGAGGCTTATAAGTTGAGTTAACCCCTTTATGTTAACCTTTTATCATCATTATCATACCACTCTAAACCCCGAGCTGTTTGTCTCGCTGAAGAGTAGTACTTTCATTAACCAGTCACTGTTTGTGTAAATCAACAAACTGGGAATTTCATTGTAGTAAATAAAGCTGTATGTCAAGTTTTAAACTACATAGTTTGTTAAATTCCAAATGTCTGTTCTTACATGTTTAATTAAACTGTTAAGATAGATTACCATTTGGTGGGGCCTCAAATAATATAATAATTCTTTAATTATTAATAATAACACCGGGAGAAGGTAGATGACGGAGGAATCACTTGCCCTGTCTAATAATTCATTAACATTAAGTATGATAGACATCTAAAATTCCTTGCCTTCTCTTGTGGGTACCAAGTTCAGCTAATGTTAATATACTTAACGAGCCAATATGGCTGTTTTCTTGGATATCCAGGACTTTGTCTGAGAGCAACATAGCTCAGATTTTAGTTCGGTGTATCTAGTGGAGAGAATGTGTTGAAAGGAAGATCCCTAGTCAACAACATAAACATTTAAACCACGCGTCACGTCACAACACTAAAATTCAAAATATCACTTGTACTGGAAAGATTAGCAATAATTTTCCTTCTTTACAAAT